GTCTTCAGTTTTTAAAGTAGCGACATAGACCTGAATGAATTATACAGTGTGAAATGTAATACAAATTATTACAATAGTTAGAATTTCAGAATGTTAACCAAGGGAGGTCAACACAGCACAAAGCACACACTTTGTTGTTGCAGAGTAGAAATCAGTTGCCAAATCAATTAAATATGCAATATGGATCGACGTGTAGGTAGAATACAATAGAAAGAACTTACAGAAAATAACTCAAGATAATGATTTTATCAATGCTTATATAATGAAGATAACCAAAGAATTATATGATACTTTTTTACTAAATAATCAATATAATGAATTTCTACATTTTGAAATAAAAATGCATGTGTTCTGGTGCCACATAAATAGCCTAACAATGATCGTATCTTATCTTTTTGTATGTAAACGCATTACCCCATCCTACCCAATCTTTTAAAGTTTGTAACTCAGGCCACGAAACTAACTTTAGCTATCTGCACTATGCTTCTAACTCGTAGAAATACAAAGATATCGCGACCAAGCACAAGTCGGTGAGGCTTGACCCTCCCTGCACTAATTCCACTGCCTCCACCATGTTTCTGAACAATGCCTATGTGAAGTCGGCTCTGCACATCTCTGCTTCCTCTCTGCAGTGGCAGATTTGTAGGTGAGTCATGGTTAATGAGATCCTTTCTCTAGACATGTTCAGGCAATGTGCACTGGCCATTCACCTCAAGTCAAGTGGTGAGTCGTACCAATGGACAACACTTTGATTCCGAATCTGTAATTTGTAATTATAAGAATTTATTATTGCAACTTTTAAAGACCAATTGCTCTGTTTATTGCAACTTTTAAGTAGTTAAAAAAATAACTTAAAGTAAGAGATACATGTCAAGGTCAAGAATATCACTCAAACATTTTTATTTAGTTGAATCCATCTAAGAGCTCTATTGCCTGGCTGGTTTTTACTTTTGCAGTTCAGAGGTCAATTTAAAATACAAACGGCTTTACATGGATGTCCGCGCGCAGTACCTGAAGCTGCTTGGGGCACTGGTAAGTTTAGTTTACTTTTCCATCTGTTATCTTTGATTTATTTGTATATGGTTCTTCCTTGTACTGGGAGTAGCTGAATGAGACGAGGCAAGTTTACATAGCAGTCATTCAAAGTGCTTTGCATATAAGAAAAAAAGAATACAAAGAAAATTCTAATTAAAATGATAGATCAGAATAGACATAAAAATCATGATTAAAACAATAGATTTAAAATTAGGGAAAAAAAACATGAAGATAAAATGCAAATTACAGATGAATTGGGATACAGGACGGAAATGCAGGAGGTATAACCAAGAAAACAAAAATGTACAAGAGAATTTTACATGTCAGAGTAAGGATATCAGAAGGGAACCAATGCTGGAGGAATACACTTATTCAGAGCTGATTGGCAAACGGATTGCAATGCACAATATTTCAAAATCGGTTTTCCACCCATATACTTGCATGGTGATGAATTAAGTCATTGCAGAATTATTTGAAATTCATCACTGCTGCCATTGATCTTCGTCTACATTAATAATAACCCCGTTTTCCCTTTGAAACATGTCCTGGTCCATAGGCTACTGCCCTTTGTTCCAGGGCTACTGGCCTCGTTTCAGTTTTAAGTTTAAGTCCAAAGTGTGTTTTAAACTGAGATGCTGAACAAGTTTCATCATTCGGCTTCTCTGTAAAGAGAAAAAATGTCACAGGACAAAACTGTAACACTGCATTAAGAAGCGATGAGGGGGGGGGAAATAATGGTAACGGGAGGAAACGAATTTAAACATACGGGATGGAGGCATTTCTGGGTTGAAAGAACATTTCAAAATTTAAAACTTAAGAGGGTACAGAAAAAAGAACCATTTGATGTTGTATTGAGTGAACTCTGACAAAGGAATATGGCACAACTGTTAAGATAGATAGCCGAAAGATTAAACGGTATAAAAGAGAACCTTGTTGTTCGGCCTTTTTGACAGGCGTAGAGAAACCGGAAGTTGATTTGCCGGTATACGATAATCCAGAAGACATGCGTACATAGAGCCTTTAGCTAAATGCTGCTTCACCAGGTCTAGTCTTTATCTTAGGCAGGACTAACTGACTTGTTCCTAATGATCTGAGTAATAAAAACATGAATTTAACCCCACCTACTAATCCTCATGGGTGACTTTTCCCGCTACCTGCAGAAGTACCGTGTGCTTGTGTACAATGGAGATGTGGACATGGCCTGCAACTTCCTTGGTGATGAATGGTTTGTGGAATCACTTCAACAAGAGGCAAGTCTCAGTGCTGTTGCTCATTTCCAATAATGAACATATGAATGTTATATCTAGAAAAGCAAAACTGCCTCATAAATATACAAAAAGAAAAGAAAAGGAACTATTGAATAAGATCCCAAAGCATACCTCCCAGAAACAAGTCAAAATCCTTCTGGACATTGCAGTATGTGACAATCACCTTTCAGCTTGCAGTGATTGTATCACTTTTTCTCTTAGTTTGATCGTTTCCTTCCCTTGTAGGTGCAGGTCAAACGCAGGCCTTGGCTCTACTACACTGGGGAAAGCATGCAGGTCGGAGGCTTTATCAAGGAGTTCTCTAACCTGGCCTTCATGACTATTAAGGTAAGAACCACTCTCACCTCATTTTAGAAGAAAGAGAATGTTTGTCAAGTCTGGCTACTTCTGAGCATCAGTGCTTCATACATTTATAGTGACGTTCTTCGACGTTGGGACAGAGCTACTTCTGAATTTTTGACTTCCTCCAGAATATGTCTATAAGACCTTTCAGAACAGCATTCCTTTTGATAACAATTCTTTGTTGTTCAACAGGGGTCAGGTCACATGGTGCCCACCGACAAGCCAATAGCAGCCTATGCAATGTTCAGCCGTTTTCTGAAGAAGCAGCCGTATTGAGAAACAGACTGTATGCAAAACTGTCTTATTTCACTTCTAAGTCCTTTCCTGGCATCTGTCTGCACTGTGAACAATCTTTGGCTTTATATGAATTATGCTCATGATGGGTACAAGACGTAATATGCACTAATTCATTCTGAACAGCACTGGATTATCAACGTAATGGCACAGCTTAATTTTTTGTTGGGATGATTTTGTGTGTGTTGAATGTCTGTCTGCTCGCATGAATCCATGGTAAGATGCTGGTCATACTACTGTACCATTTAGACTTTGTGTTTGTAGCAGGAAGTCAAGAGGATCGCAGTGGGTAGTGTGGGGTCCCTACTGGCCAGTGACAGTCGTGCTGATAGTTACGATCGTATGTCTTATGCCTGAAGTTTTATTGGGTTTTAATACAAAAATAACAGCACTGTTATGGATGCATTCAAAGGGAATGGCCACTGTCTTAGGAAATCACCAATTTGCCTTTTACTGGGATGTATCAATATCTGTCATTTAGAAACTTCACTGTCAATAATAAATTGCAGCTTCATCATTTAAGATGTATATATTTTCAGCCTTATACACAGACTTGTATGAATGATGGACTTATTTTAAAGATCAGTATTATGTATTGTCGATTATGTTTCAGTTAAATTGTGAATAAAGCCACTTATTGTGCATTACTAAAGTTTACGTTTTGTTAATAAATTCGTTTGCATTGAATCTCCTGTCTCTTGTTATTCAGAGTGCTGCACCTTGGATTCTAAAATAGTTCGGATAGTTGGCAATAGCTGATATTATAAATACACTGAGGTCATAGTTTGCTTCTCAAAATACATAACAGACATGTAGAACAAACTTTGAAGGGGGAAAAATGAATTTCCATCTGTCTGCCAGGAAAACTTTATGATGTTCTGAAGGGGTTCCCATCCATGGTTTATTCATTACCCTTGCAATATTAGCATTGTATTACAGGCACATGGTCTGTCTTTTGTGCTTTAAGAAGCCAAGATCTCCCATAAGCCCCGTACCTCTCCATTCGATGCTGGCTGGTGTGAGGCTTACATGCAGCTGCTCGGCCATGGAAGTCCATTCCATGAGGCTCCAAGCACACAATTTTTGTGCTGGAGTTAATGCCAGAGGAAGTTTGAAACTCTGCAGTGACTGAGTCAACAGAGTGTTAGTGACTTTCACGCTCTATGCACCTCAGCACTCGGTGACCCCACTCTGTTATTTCACATGGTCTGTCACTTTAGGGCTGACTTTCTTTCGTTCCTAAATGCTTCCACTTTGCAATAATACCACTTACAGTTGACCATGGAATATCTAGAACAGGGGTGTCAAACATACGGCCCACTATGGTGTCCAATACGGCCCGCGGGATGATTTGAACAATAGTATTAAATATCAAATCTTTTTTATTATCATTATTAGTAGTAGTAGTAGTAGTAGTATTAAAATAAAGTCTATGTCTGGGTATTTGCTGCAATATTGTGTTTGGTTTTATTCATTTGTTTATTTTATCATTGATCATTTAACTGCTCTTCTACTGCGCTTCTGCCGGAACCTCTAACACGCAAGCGCATTCTAAATTGGCGCCTAAATCAAATTTCTTCGGCTATTTGAAGATGTGTGGCAAGCACTCGCGATTTTAAAAAAATGTCCAAAAAAAGAAAAATTGATCTGGAAGGGCGGATGTTTCAGGAGAAATGGAAAGAGAAGTATTTCTTCAGTGAGGTCAATGGCAAGCCGGTATGTTTAATCTGCTCACAAGCCGTGGCAGTGCAAAAAGAATACAACATTAAACGGCACTATGACATACATGCAGAGAAATATGATAAATACACTGGACAGCTCCGAACGGAAAAAGCTAATGCTTTAGCATCCGCTTTAAAAAAAAAACAATCAATGTTCACAAAAAGAGCAGGGACTGATGAAGCTGTAAAGGCCAGCTATTTGATTGCCAATGAAATCGCAGCGGCATCAAAGCCATTTTCAGAGGGAGAATTCGTCAAGAAGTGTATGGTAAAGGCAGCGGAGCTTGTGCGTCCTGAGAAAAAACAGGCTTTTGCCAGTATTAGCTTGTCAAGAAATACTATGGCTGAAAGAATTGAGGACCTTGCAAGAGACTTGAACCGTCAGCTGAAAGACAAAGTTAAGACATTCATTGCTTTCTCTGTAGCACTCGATGAGAGTACTGACGTTAACGACATAGCTCAACTGGGGTTATTTATTCGTGGAGTTGATGAATCTTTGAACATCACTGAAGAATTTGTTGAGCTGGTTCCAATGACAGACACAACTACCTCCAACGACATTTATGCCAGCCTCATTGGTGCTCTGGATAGACTGGAAGTTGACTGGAGTCGCGCTGTTAGTGTGGCAACGGATGGCGCTCCATCCATGGTCGGGAAAAAGGCAGGCGTTGTGACAAAATTAAAAGAGAAAATTCAAAAAGAGAACCCAACCCAAAAATTCTGGAATTTTCATTGTATTTTACACCAGGAAGCGTTGTGTAGCAAAACCCTAAAGATGGACAATATTATGAGTGTGGTAATAAAAACTGTTAATTTCATCAGAGCAAAGGGGCTCAACCATCGGCAATTTGAGGCCTTTTTATCTAACAAAAATATTCCCCGCAGTCTACCTTACCACACCGAAGTTCGCTGGTTGAGCAGGGGAGCCGTGCTCAAACGTTTCTTTGAACTGCGCTCAGAAATCAGTCAGTTCATGAAAGATAAGGGAAAACCGGTGACTGAGCTGGATGACCCCGAGTGGGTTCGTGACCTTACTTTTATGGTGGACGTAACTGAGCACTTAAATGTGCTCAATGCTAAGATGCAAGGCTGCAACAAAATCGTAAATGAATATTACGATTGCATTCGCGCATTTGAGATGAAACTAGATCTGTGGGCGACACAGCTTTCCCAAGGTAACCCAGCTCATTTTCCCTTTTTAAAATCTGTGTACACCACTCACGGCAAAGACAACATGGACAAATACAAAGAAAAAATTGTTGGTCTGCAGAAGGAGTTTCAGAATCGGTTCCAGATCTTTAATGAACTTGAGAAGGAATTTGCTGTCTTCCGTTCACCGTTTACTGCGAGCGCAACGGATGTACCGGAGGAACTCCAAATGGAACTAATCGAACTGCAGTGCAACACAGCTTTGAAGGACAAATTCGCACTGTGGATTTATTTTACCAAAACCTCGGACCGACGTTCCCCAAAATGACAGGTTTTGCATCCAAAATCCTCAGCATGTTCGGGACGACATATCTCTGCGAGCAGGCATTTTCTGTAATGAACATTAACAAGTCCAACCTGCGCTCTCGACTCACACACAGACATCTAAATGACATTATGAGAGTGGCAACGGCTCAAAAACTGGTTGCTGACGTTGATGCACTGGTCGAAGAAAAGAGAAGTCAGGTGTCAGGAAGCAGGAGTTAAAAGCATTATGCGTACCTGTGTATACTTGCGTATGTCACCTCATCTAGATTTTTATTTGTTAAAGGAAAGTTCTCATTTGTAGTGTATAGTTAATGTTCATATCTAAAGTGAATGATATTTTTTTTCATTTGCATTAACAATAAAGAATTTATTTTTGTATATGATTTTTTCTAAACTATTGAGTTGTTAAAGGCAGTTTTTTTAAATTGTGAAGTGTTTTTCTAGTTTGTAAATTATATTGTAGCCATTAGCTTCATATTTAATGTAACTGTCTGTACACAGAGTCTGCAGCATTTTTTATTTCTTATTTTATCATTACTAAAAAGTATCTGACAGGTAATATTCATGTTCAAAGGAAAGGATTTTGCTTTTTCCCCAAAAAGGAATAAGAGTGTTAATGAACAGTTTCTGAGGACTTGTTAAATGCAGTTTTACAGAATATAGTGTATTTGTTGTAATTTGATGCACTATGATTAAAAAATAATAATAATAAATTCGGCCCGCACATGGTCACATTTCTTCTCATCCGGCCCTCACCCTAAAATGAGTTTGACACCCCTGATCTAGAACTTTCTCAAACTGACAAAGGTGGCATCCTGTGACAGCACCACGCTTGAATTCACTGAGCTCTTCAGAATGACCCATTCTTTCACAAATGTCTGTAAACCTGACTGCGTGGCTAGGTGTTTAATTTTAAACACGTATGGCAATGGGTTTGAATGAAACACCTGAATTCAATGATTAAGAGGTGTGTCCCAATACTTTTGTCCATATAGTGCATAATGAATGTCTAAATACAAATTTTTATTTTATTCATTACAAATAAGCATAACTCACAGTAAAAGTATTACCTTGATTAGCACTTTTTATTTTTTCCTTTCATACAAATGTTTATTTTTTCCAAAAAAAAAAAAAGATGAAAAATAGCTGGTTACTCAACAATTATGTACTACTACAATTGCAATACGAAAACCAACATACATTATTTCAGTTTGAAAACTAGGTTTATCGTTCAGAAAATTAATTCAATATATATAGGATTACTGGTGTGGAAAGGAAATCATACTATGAAAACAGTTTTAAAGAACAGAGGATGAGCATATGTAAGAATTTTTAATTCCTCAGTCCTAAGATTCCTCCAAAACTGTAAAAACCACTTCAACTGTTAAAACCGTGTCCTCAGACCTGTTTGGTCTTGTTTTGTTCTTTAATACAGTGGAATGTTTGTGTTCTTCTTAGCTATACAGAATGGAGCTTGATCGCAGTGTAAGTCTCAGAATATTTACATATCCAACAAGAAGGAGATTTGCTGCTGTAAATATTTCCTGGTGAGCATTTAAGTTCACACACTGAAAAATCTGGTCTAGATGGGCTTTCTGTTGTAGGACCTGATGTGGTTGTTGAAGGGTTGGTGTTGTTGCCTCAGTTGCAGGGTTTGAATCCGGCTTTGTGTGTATGTAACGTATCGCTTTTTTCCTCCATTTACAGCCTCGATGCATGCAGTTTGAGCAGTCAGTGCCTCTAAATTCATCCCTGTGTGTTCTTGATGTTACTTCTCCTGATGGATAAGTGAATGATAAATTTTAAAGTGCGAATCTGCAAGAAGTCTGCAATGAGGCCCGGCGGACGACAGAGGAGTTTCCAGCTCAGGGAGATGCGGTGCTGTTGCTTGGCACCTCCTGCCGATTCTTCTCAATCACCTCTCTGAGGCCTTCAGTGAAGTGGAGGTTGGCTCCAATGATGATGAACCCCTAAGAAAAAAAGAAAAGAGGTGAGTATGCTGCAACCACTACAGAAATATTGACAGGAAACGGACATGCAACACTATCAGCTATGCATGGAATCTGCAATCTGCAGTCACATTTTCCAGGATTTTTACTCAACCTTCCTTGACATGACTCTGTGACTAGAAGCAAGTGCCCCACAGAAATAAAAACTTAACCAACTGATATTTCATCTCCATATATTTCTGAAAGTGAATGGAAAATTCCTGTGGTCCAAGCTCACCTCAGCCCTGGAATTAGGAAATTGTAGTAGGACATAAATGAATCATTCCAGCACTGGCATGAACTTCTACTGGACAACAGATGGCGTTAAACTTACATTGTGATACTCCACCACCTCCTCAATGAAGTCCATCCCTTCTGGAAGCGGGATCTGAACTCCTTTCTTCGTTCGATCTTAAACACAAGTTATGCTTCTGCTTATATTACCATGGACACCACATGAAAGCACATTAGCAAGTGCATACAGAGGGGGCTTGGGGCGGCAGCCTGCTGCTTCAGGGCGGGGGATTCGGATCCAAACTTTGCTCTGGGTGGAGTTTGCATGCTCTCCCAGTCTAACATGTGTACTGATACCCCGACCAGGCTGTACCCCTGCCCTGTGCTGCCTGGGCGGGCCCCTACCCAGGTATAGGGGTCAGGATAACATGCACAGAGGTGATCTTCTTTACAGCAAGGTGAGGTGTGACTGACAGTGATAAACACACTTACTGTTGATGATGGGTACTATTGAAAGCTGTAGCATTGCCTTCAAGGGGCCCTGCAGGGGGATGAGCTGAAATAGACAGAATAAATGCCACATTAGACCTCTGGAGGTTACCCCTCAGTCAAAATAGTAAGAAAATATGTAAACAAAAGAATCCTACTGCTAATGATTCCAGAGCAGACTGGTTGGAGTAGATTTTAAACCTGAGAAAACATGTCATTATGGCTTATTTCTGTTGAACAAACAAGCAAACAAAACAGGTATGTAATGATCCATGGTGTTTGCGTTTCCATACTTTCTCAGATCCATCTGAAGAGCCAGCCTCTTGCCCTTCATCGAAACCTTGGCATTTAGCTTGGTTTCCTGCAAGATGCAGAACAAAAATAAAGTTATAAAGTAATGTTCCACTGAAATTCATTATTTCTGAGCACCAGGTAATGACTGTGGACTGTATTTTTAGTCCACTAGATCAGCAAGGCAGTAAGCAGATCTCACCATGGTCAGTAAGGCCACAGTCATCACTGGGGTAAGCAGATCTCACCATGGTCAGTAAGGCCACAGTCATCACTGGGGTAAGCAGATCTCACCATGGTCAGTA